TCAGCACGGCCAACCGGAGAGCAGGCTGTGGTTCTGAGGCTCCACTCACTGAGGTTTAGCTCAACCAATGTGATTATCTGTGGCTCTAGAGAGTTTTTTTAAGCTTTAAATTCATCCAATATCAACAGCAATAATGTCTACAGCACTGACAGAGTGGTGAGAGGAACTCAGCGTCTGTCACATTTACACTCAATTCTGCTTCCTGCAGGGGAGCTCAGCACTCTCCCAAACCCTCACACTGAAGACCAGCAGCGTGTGGTTGTGAGCGCGCTCAGTTGCTCGTTGTTGCTCTGTTCTCTGGACATCGTGTGAAGTGGCAGTAAAAAGTTATATTTCCATTACAGCGTCTGTGTGTGTGTGTGTGTGTTTTTCTATGCATGTGTGTGTAGACATAGGTGTACAGATGGTCTCCATGTCTATGTGGACAGGTGTTTACTGGCTTAGAGTGTGTACTGTGTGTGTATGTGGGTGTGTGTGTTTATGGATGTGTGTCTGTGTGTGTGTGACATTGGCTCCTCCATCTGCCATTACCTCACTGTAATAATAACACCATTATTCTCACTAACTAAGATTCCATCCTCAACTTCTGATGACAGTTGAAGCTCCTCCAGCTCCTGTGTGTGTGTGTGTGTGTGTGTGTGTGTGTAGGTGTGTGTGTTTGTGTGTGTGTGTGTGTGTGTGTGTGTGTAGTATGCCATTTTTGTTATAGCATTAACAGTTTTGTACAGACAAAAATTGAATTCTAACTAATGTGCTTTGATGTTCTGTAATAAGAAATGGTCATGTGTAATCCCAATAAACTACAAATCATATTTACCAAATCAATTTTTTAATATAGTCGCAGTTTTAGCAGCACACAGCAGCAACAATGTGTTTAATATTTTAAACTTATCTAACAAAACTATTGGGAAAATTCAACCATTAAAGCAAGACAAACGTTAAAAAATTGATTGATCAGGTAGAGCTTTGATAAACTGCTAACAGTCATGATGAGAATGCAAAACAGAAAGTGCAGTGGGTTACCTTCAGATTAGCTGTGAGTGTGCTGTAGCCTACAACATGCCCATTCGACTCCCACACCCAACTTCAGTGCTCCTCGGCTTACACAGAGTGAAGAATGATACCCATACCTTGTTCCTTATAGAAAATACATGCATGTGATTAATTCAAGGTATACGTACTTCTCCAAAATGACATCAGTCAAGACCTTTTGGGGGGTCTGAGTGGAGTTGATTCTTTCTGACAGAACAAATGCTATCACAGTGAAAGCTTCGATGGATCACAATCAAAAAGAGAATCAGGATTTGTTTTCTTTTTTTTTTAAAGAATCAGTTCTTCTTGGGATGAAAAAAGACTTTGGTCATTTCAGAATGAATACATCGGAGTGTGGTTTTTCAATGTATAATGCTACGTGTCCTCTACATGGATGTATCGGGTGGGTGAGGCACCTTTGGCCCAGTGGGGACTGGGAACCTGTTTTTGCATGCCGGGAATCAAGGTCCAAACAGGCACGTGATAGGCCAAGATGATCAGTACTGGACTCTGCATGCTGAGCTAGGAGACAAATCCTCTCATAATAATAATAATAATAATAATAATAATAATAATAATAATATCTAGTCATTTAAAAAGTTATGATTTTTAATAGTCATTTTCCCTAAGTTTTATACAGTGAAAATGTTACAATACAAGCCATCTCTTGTATAACTGCTGCAAGAAGAGAGAACACAATATTAATCTTGCCCATGCTTTAGTTTGCCGAACCAAATAGGGATGCAGCCAGTATAAATGTCACCTACTGGTTTTCAGCCATGTTGTTTTCTGGCTTTAAGTAGACGCTGCCATAAGATGGCTGCCAGTGCTGCAGTTATAGACCATCTGGGTCAAAGCCACAAGCCTTGCCTCGTAGTCCAAAGAAGTCAGTGAGTGAGGGACAGAGGCCTACAAGGCCTAGAGATATTCCTAGAGCCCACGCTCGGAAATAAGATTAAAGAAAAATAGACTTCAGGTTTTTCTATTTACCAGAGAAGGCGGACTGAACCGCTGGTGGGACTTGATAGTGATATGTATACACCATTCCTTACAGCGCTCTTTCCCACCCACACACACATCTGTTTATAAATGTGTGTGTGTGTTTGTATGTGTGTGGGGAGCTCCTCGCATTGATTGCAGTGGCGGTAATTAGCACTTCATCAACTATGATTGCAGGAGCTATCTGCCAGCCTCCAGTGTGTTTTTGTATCAGTTGTAAAAAGCAACATCTCTGATTTTTCCCCACAAACTTTGTATGTCTGTCTCTAAGTGTGTGTGCATGTTGTAGGCAAGACGAAAATTTTGATTGTTTTTTTTATTATATATATGCTTGTTTTTTTATGCCCCATCTGTGTGAATGTGTTTCTTATAAAATCACACAACTGCCTTGCAAAATGTTTTTATCTTTTCTACGTTACTTGACAAAGAGAAAAGTGTGTGACTAGAGATAGAAAGAGAGGGAGAGGGGAACATACTCGTAAAAAATAGAGGACGACAGTCCAAATATTTACTCTATCTATACAGTCTCTATCCCAGAACATAGCTGGTGAACTGTGGTATAGAAAATAGATCTGAAGGTACACAGACTCTGCTGCAACAGGGCATTATAGAGAGGGGGAAGGTTTCTTGAATGAACCGTCAGCAAGCAAAGTACCACGAGCATGGTCGTGAAACACGCGTTGTTATTCACATGAATTCTCACAGTTACAGAGGAATCTGAAGGCATTCCATTGATCAGCGGTCCTCTTCCCTCCTGTGCTGGGGAAACTCAGCCGCCGCAGAATCCATCCATCCGTGTTGAGACAGCTAGAGAAAAAGGGAGGACGAGGCAGAGGAAGAGGAAGGAGGAGCGAAAGAAGAAAGGAAAGGAGGGAGGTTTCGCCTGGATCTGATCCGCGGAAGAAAGAGGGTCTGGAGTCTAGTCGGGGGGGGGGGAAACCCTGCCTCCGTCACAATCCCTCCCCCCCCCTCCACACACACACACACACACACACACTGGGCACTGGTCAGGTGTGGCTATGTGGCGGGCTTGTCGGGCTTGCTGACAGGTTTACCTCCGTTCATCACCGCCGGCTCACTTGTGCTTTTACTGGGAGGTACCGCTGCCTTGGGCACCGTCTCTCCAACATCATGCAACGATGGCTCTCTGTACATGGCGACTGGAGGAGCAGGCGATCAGGAAAGAAAGCAGAGAGACAAGGGAAAAGCTGTTAGCAAGAACCCTTTCTTCCATACTTTTGAGTTTACCTGTCTAAAACTATTTGAGGCACATATATCCACTAACACTACATGGTGTTGCTTCTTTTTTGAAGAGTTTTCATACAGAAGAAAATCTCTCCGAACCTACAATAAAGACATGTGGCAATTTACAGATGGAAAAAAAAGCTGATACATTTTTTTGCCCGTGGGCTTCATGATACCATCCTGACTTGCTTCTGTCTCCTTCAGGGCTGATTCTGAATCTAAGCACATACATTTCAACAAAACAGCAAAAAAGTGTTTCATTATCCTCCACTTTACAGCCACTAGACTACAGCTGTATTACTGTCTTGACAGGACACTTCAACTTGATTCCATGTTTAACTGAGGGGAAGCAATCAGGCTGGTGGCTGACAAGAGTGAAGGTGGCATCTGCTGGACTATCAACATTTCATATTCCACTTACAGAGCTGTCCTGCCTCCTACACTGTCTGCTTACAGCAGCAAAATATTGAAACAGCACATGAATTCAAAAATATGAAAAACAGATATTTCTCATAGTTCTACCTCTACTAAGGATAGGATCATGTCTTATAATATTGGACATCTGCCCTGTAATATAACATGGCAAGTCATGCCTCGTTGTTGTCAGTTGTTTTTGACCCAAATATATTCAGATTTATTTATGTGTCCACCTAAATGTTATGTTTGCTGCTGCAAAAAGATGCCATCATTTACAGTAACAAGGTCTCTTGCCATGTTGACAGCTGAAAAACCGCTTCAGGTGGCAAAAAGTGAAGACAAAATGGGGAGGAAATGTTAATTATGCCCCTTGAGTCCCTATAAATAAGTAAAAACAAAACAGAAAGCTGCATTTTATAGCAAAATTCTTTGTGTTATGATTTTTTAAATCTAACTCTCAGTCCCTTCTTCTTCTTTTTTTTATAAAGGTCAGCTCACCCAAAACATAGAATTCTTTTTTAAATCCCTGCGGCAAGTGGAAACTGCTCGGGCAGATTCAGCTTCACTTTTGTTTGCCTGATATAAGAGAAATCCATCTCTGAGAGTCCTGTTTTCCAAAACGTTGTTCACCTAGAACAACTTTCAGAGGTGTATATGTCAAAAATGTCTGCACATAAAAGTGAAACTGAGAAAATAAGTTATTTTGTGATTTGGATGTGATCTGACCCTTTAAACGATGTTATCTGACCCTTAAGGCGATTATTTTTCTTAATGTCAACAAATCTCTAAAGTGTTAGTACATCTCTAAATTCGTTCCAACTTCCGCAGCCAGTCTCTGGCTCTCAGCCCCAAGGCCACTGGCTCCTACTGAGGACAGAAATCTTAAAAAAAAAGCAAGGTCACAAATGTATACTTTCTTAAAACAGCTGAGCTCTGTAGCTTTCAGAGAATGATACTCAAACAGTAGTAGCAGCACATTTGTCAGCGACTATTTTCACCTATGGACTAATTATATATAATAACATATACTAATAACATTTGGTGCTCTAGTAAGTTTTTATGGCAGCAGGACGGTGTATATGGGATTGATAAAACTACAGCCCATGTTCATCGTACAACGGTGTGGCTTATTGATGATTTTTCTGGAAACAATGGAGCTCTGTGGCACAGAGGCATACGATATATCAGGCTTTGGGTACACAGATTATAATTGATAGTGATTCAATTCATTGTTAGTTTTGGTCCTTTAATGGAAATTGTTCAGTTTCATGAAAAACGAAAATCACCACATCTATCTGTATATAATGAAAATGAACAATGATAAATTCCCAGACTTTTAGTATTAGTTGAGCAGTTGAGTGTCTATATAGAGTACCTACCTTCTAATGGCTTGGGCAGGAAGTGAGCAGCTGGTTTTGTTTTTTTCACTCGGTTCCCCTTCATAGCTTGGCCCTCTTTATTGAGCCCTAGGAACCAAGCTCTCCCCGACTCCTGTTGTCTGTACAACATGGACGAGTAGATCACATAGTAGTTCTCAAACACCGACTCTTTGAACTTGCACTCCGCTGTAAAGAGTTCCTGCAGAGACAGACACAAGCACCACACAGATTATAAAAACAAGGTCTTTCACGCCAAAAACAATACACCGATTTCATTTGAATATAACATGTGGAAGACATTCTAGTGGATTCAAATTAATAATTCATGGCAGAGAATGAAACAGATTCATAATTGATATTGTAACTTTCATGGAGGTCACCAGGACAAATGGCAATTTTATGCCACGCTCACAATGTATAGAATAATACACAGCGGGCACAGGCACTGCCTCACCAGGTGAAATGGACTTCATACTTCCACCTGTCGTGAAAAAGATGAGCGCTGCAGAGTCTCTCCCGCTATTATCAGCTCTGATTCAAGCCGAGCCTAATGACCTGCTCTGATGAAATGCAACTCTCATTCTCTCCTTGGCCTTAACCTTGACATCAGATGTAGGAGCACTCGTTTAGTCAATTAGCCCATGTTCCTGGCAGAAAGTATATATTGTTAGGCATTGACCCCAGCACCTCAGCACTAGAAATATCAGCACTTTCTTTCCCCCCAGATGTCTATCCATACACTCCTGGCTTGTTCTTTATTTTTTTTCTGTTTGTTAAAACCCAAAGGGAATCATTCTTCCCAAATACTATGTCTTTTATTGGCATTTTTTCTATGACTGTCTTCTGAAGGAATAATGATAGAACTAATCAAGTGACTCCTCCATCCTTAACACCTCAATCTGGCAATGACGAATGAACACCGAGGCACCACATCTCTCTCTGCTGTTGCCCATTCATCTCCGACCAGAAGGGTAATAAAAAGCGTTTCCACATTGTCCGCCCTGCCAGGCTAAAAATAAAGGCATTCATCGGGGTGTATTAATCAAAGCGCACTCATCACAATGGAGAGTTTCGCCACATCTGTTGTGGGTGATTCACACTGAGCTGGCTCAAAGAACAACTGACAAAGTAAAAATCTTCTGATACATCCCATACTGCCCTGGTCCTCAATGCCAGACTCTTTAAGAAGATCCTTGAGTAAGTAAGCAACCGTTTAATTTCTTTAAAAAAAGTATGCCTCTTTGATTCAGCTGTGTTTGAAAGACATGGGTAAATGTGAATATAATATGATAATTAGATCATACAAAAATATGGCTGCAGCCTGTGTGTAGATTTCTTAAAAGCCATAAACTGACATGACTTTACAGCTCTATGGGGCTGGACAAGCACAGCGTTGCTTTACTAACATGCTCACATTGTTGATGTGCTGATGTTAGAAGTATATTGTTTACCATGTTCACATTTGATAATTGGCAAACTTTAGTTGAGGCCAGTGTCATTAGTTTTGCAGGTATTTGGTCATAACTCAAAGTGAAATGATAAGTTGAGGGATCCCCAAAGTTCTCACAATTCATCCCAAAATGAATTCTGTCTGTATTAAATTTTGTTCTAGTCCATCAAATAGATATCAAAAAAATTAACTAGATAAGTAAAAACTTTGACCTGTTGATGGCACAAGATGGAAAGGAAGGGATCCAAAAAAACAAAAAACAACAACCTCATGGGGGTGCTAGGGGACAAGTGAAAGGATCACCTAAGTCAGTATGACTCATCTTCTGGGGATCAGGAATGTCTGTGTTAAATTTCATCCCTAAAGAAAAACTTTACAATTTTTTAATCCTCGAAATTACTTCTCAGTAACATTTCCGTGTTAAATTAAATTTTATAGTTACTATAGTGAGGCTTTCTCTCTATAAATGTCCTATACTGTAGCTGCACAGGACATTATTTATGGTTAGTTTTTAACACAGGTCACACTATGCCACAATTAGGGTGTAATTAGCCTTTTGGTGAATTACTCCTGTCAGATCTTCTCCTCTAGACAGCATTCAGCTGAAAGCAGAGCAGTACAGGAAGGAGCGGAGAGACACTTGGGAAGACCCTAATCATTCTGAGAAGCACCCGGCTATATTTTAAGTGTCCTCGCTATCCTTGATTGAGGACTCATGGGCATTTCTGAGCGTATACAGAATCAGTTGAGATGTTAAAAAAAACTCACAGTGCAATTACAGTGAGAAACAGTCAAAAGTGCAGGCATTGAGAGGTCAGAGTGGTGAACTGTTATGCGAGATATGTGTTGGGGAATCATACATCCTGATGTTGGTCCGTCTCGCCAGCGATTACATTACACAAGAGAATTAACTTCAGACTATTCTAGTGGCAAATGTAGGGATTCGGATCAAAACTATTATTGCTGCTTCTGTCACACCAGCTGAGCAGAACAATCCAGACACTGCAGGCTGAAGCAATAAAAACTGAGTGTTGCATGATAAAAACCCTGAGCACGAGGCTGTCTGACATGTTTAATATGAAATAAATAAACATTCCCTCTGGACGATCAACCCCATCATTATTCATTTTGTCGTGCACATTAAGATTTATTGTGTGTCAGCAGCAAGCAGCAGCTTATCAAATAGCTGCTTATTATGTTCAAGCTGTCAGAAAGAAACGTCTATGTCCTGTCTGGACAGGTGACAAAATAGTATATATTGTATAATATAAAAATACCCACTTGGATGATTTCTTCAATCCAGAACAAATGTCTTCATTGCACCGCTTCAATGAAACCAAATAACCTTTGTTCTTTGAGAGAATGTTCAAACATGCTCTTTTCATGCTGAAGCAAACTCTGTTTCTGAGCCGATTAGAAGGCAAACAGTTTTACCTTCATGGTTCCCTGAGTTGCTTCAATTAGGTAATTAATTCTAGTTTTTCCTCGTCAGGTGAGCTGCACCGCAGGTCGATTGGCTGCTGTAATTAGTCACAACATTTCGATGCCGGTCCAGGTTTAGCCCAACGCTGATTACTTAAACGGCACACACAAAAACAGCCTCGAGTCAAAGTAATCATACAAGCTGGTGCCAAGGCCATAATTGTGGCTAATCAAACGCCTTCACATAGACGCACAAAAAGTCTGTCTTTGTTTATGGAGGCAGTGCAAGTGGAGGTGGTTTGTTTGTGGAATGGTGCTTGAAGCTGAACAAAAATGTAGCACTGCCAGTCACCATAATCAGTTTGATTTGAAGATCAGAGCAGTGAAGGCAGCCGGCGTCAGACACATTGTTTGATCAACTGCATTTTAAGTGTGTCAAATGTCAGTGACAAGCCGAAGGCTTTCATCATGTTCCTCCTTTGTCTTGCCACAGTCACAGTTCAGTCATTTGTCCTCAATAATGCTTCACTCATGTACCAGAAATTGTTGATAATCTAAAATATGCACTAATTTCAATTTCTCTAGCTATACAATACTTGGCCACAAGTATGTGGACAACCAAAATATTACACCCATATCATGTTGTGCATGACTTTTGAACCAGCAGATGGCTTTCCATAACATGTTGCCACAAAGATGCAAACAATCTACTGTCTGTACTGTTTTCTAAGCTACTGTAGAAACACAGCGGTTCAAAATGGCAGCCTCCATGGAAGGCGGTGTCTGTTGATATAAATGGCTCATACTAACAAAAACATAAAGATTTCTATATTCAAGTGATACATACACACTAACAGAAAATACCGATGAATATTATATTCCATTTCTGCCAATAGAACCTCCTAAATGTTACACACTGGACCTTTAACACAGGATCAAATGTCACGTTTGCTTTACTGTTTTGGTCTCACTGCACTCCATTTGTCATAACTAATATGGTGATAACATCTCAAGGTCAATTGGGTATGCCTGTTGTATCCATACATACAAATCAAAGCCCATGGGATGCACGCAAATTCCACATCGTCCACATGTAGTATCACAATCTAACAATATCCACCTGTCAGTTGTTGTTTTTTTTAACTTGTTAAGCACCCTTCAGTTTTATTCTTCCTTAAGTTTTATATTGTTCATGATAAAATGGTAAATGTCAGCCATGACAATGTATAATGTTTAGCCTGTTATATTAACCCATGTCTTCAATAGGAGGAGCTTGTTATGGGATCATTTTAAAGGAGCAGCCAAAGCCCAGAAAAAAAGGTTTGTGTCAGTATTACCCTTCAATTGAGAGTGGTTTGCTGTATAATTCTACCAACATTAAACTAATATTTTGGAAAAATATGGGTGACATTGAAGAAGACACAGCACACACTTTCACACCAGTTGCAAATCGAATCATTTTTGAGGCACCAAACGGTTGATTTTCTTCCCACTCCATCTCCCTGCCTGGCCCTCCACATCAGTGGCTCCCTGCTCTGAAAGGGAAGGCCATAATTGACCTTGGCCACTGACAGCGTGAGGGGCAAAAACTGCTCAGCCCCACATAATCAGCCCCAGTCACCAAAGCAAGAAGACAGGGACAGAAATAAAGGAATAGTCAAGTGAAGGCACAGCGAAAAAAGGCTAAGAGATTGACTAAGAGAGAGAAAGGAATGCGGTTGAGGGGAAGGGGCAGATCGAGAGGAATACGGTTTCTACAGAAAAAAAAAGATAAATTAAAAAATAACAAAAAGAGGCAAATGGATACAGACAGATGGAAAGAGTGGGAGTTTCAAATAAAAAGCCCTGAAAAAGAGACGAATAGGCAATGAAAGACAAGAGAGCAAAGAGAGTCACTCGAAAATAAACATCCTTTGGAAAAACCACAAAACGGGCGGTGATTGCCATTCATGACCGCCTAAAAGTAGGTGAGAGGAGGCTCATTCGGGGATGGGGACATACATTAATATGCAGAGTGACTGCTCACTACCCCACTGTGGAAACGAAGAAATTGTTTATTAATGCTGCCAGCATAAAACCTATTAATCCATGGAAAAAGGTCAACCTCCAGAAAGCTGAGCTGCATTCACAATGCTAAGCCACTCTCATGTGTATAAGAGTCACGTCGACAGTGTGTGCAGACAATGGGGGCTTCAGCAGACCTGTCTGATTATCAAACCCAGAGGAGGAAGAGGAGACAGGGACCAAATGAAGAGAGTCACCAGTAAACAGTTGGATGAATTGTGTACACAGACAGTGTACAGTTACAGTTACCCTCCTTTTTTTAT